AAAAAGGGGTGCCTGGGTGGCTTAGTTCGTTAAGCGTCTGACTTCAGCTCAGATCATGATGTCACGGTTCGTGGGTTCACCATGTTGGGCTCTGTGCTGACAGCTCAGAGCCTGAAGCCTGTTTCAGATTCTGTGTCTTCCTCTTTCTCTGACCCTCCCCTGCTCACGCTGTCTCTGTCTGTCTCTCTCAGAAATAAATAAAATTTTTTTTAATTTTAAAAAAGAAAATAAATAAATAAAACATTTAAAAACAAACAAACAAAATAAAACTCCCTTCAGCTCCCAGGCTCTGGTAGAAAATATTCCAACATAGAGTTTCCGCAGAGCAGGTGAGCATCCTGGCAGTCAGCCTGGAGGTGAATGCTGCTGGTATTTTAGATGTTATTATGTGGAGTGGGTTTTAAAATTTGTATTTTGGGGGCACCTGGGTGGCTTAGTCGGTTGAGCGTCCGACTTTCGCTTAGGTCATGATCTCGCAGTTTGTGGGTTCGAGCCCCGCGTCGGGCTCTGTGCTGACTGCCAGCTCAGCCTGGAGCCTGTTTCAGTCTGTGACTCCGTCTCTCTCTGACCCTCCCCTGCTCACGCTGTCTCTCTCTCTCCTAGAAATAAATAAAACATTAGAAAAAATAAGAAAATAAAATTTGTATTTTGTAGCTTTATTCTGACTTAGCCAAAGTGAAACCCGGTTCTCTCTTCCCTTTAATTTGGTATCCTGAAAAATTCTGGATGGTCCTAAAATTCCTTCTGAAACATCATTTTTATAGGAAATTATGGCAAAATACACATGTAATAAAATGTGTTCTTTTTACAGTTTCCAAGCGCACAACTCAGTGGCATCAATCATGCTCACACTGTCCTGCAGCCACCCCTATCATCCGTCTCCAGAACCTTCCTTGTCCCCAAACTGGGGCTCTGGAAAAACACCATCTTTGTTTTGTTTTTTTAACGTTTATTCATTTTTGAGAGACAGACAGAGAGAACGAGAGAGCGAGCATGAGCGGGGGAGGGGCAGAGAGAGAGGGAGACACAGGATCCGAAGCAGCTCCAGGCTCCGAGCTGTCAGCACAGAGCCCGACACGGGGCTCGAACTCATGAACCATGAGATCGTGAGCTAAGCCAGTCAGAGGCTTACCCAACTGAGCCCCCAGGTGCCCCCAATGTCCTTATTTTATTTTTTTTTTTTTTAAAGAAAGCTACATTTTGCCTTGCCCCTCCCCCCAAGCTTCTCTGACCAATGGGGCTTACATTCCCAGACATTCTCCTGGTGGAAAATTCTACAATCAGGTGGGCGAGAGCAGGCCTGGGTGGCTTCTACCACCCCCTTGTTTTCTTGGTGACTTCCTTTGAGCTGAAGATAAAATAGGTCCCGAGAATAAAAACGAACTACTGAGATGCTCGTGTTTATCGCCAAAGCACAGCCTCTGGCCTCCGGAATGTTCTTGTGTCATTTCCAGATATTGTGTGGGGTTCCTGCAGACAGCATGGACATGGTGGAGACAGAACCAGGCCAAGGCTTTAGAGACAGTTTGTGGTTATTTCTTGCTGTGAAACTTTGGTCTCTGGAACCTTCCATGGGGGTTCGTTTACACCCGATCCGCACAGAATTCAAACCGCGAGGGCCTCTTGCCCAGGCCCCAAAGTCCCCCGAAAAGGAAGCAAGATTGCGAATGGACCTCAGCACTGCCCCTTAAGTTTCCTTATCACGGACTCCCAGCGGGGGTGGAAGGGGCTGGAGGGTTCGGGCAGTTTTGATTGCTTTCTCATTAATAATGTTCTCTGGGCCTCCCCGAGAGGCCGCAAGGCTGCAGGGAGCCTGGTGGGCCCGGAGCCCCGCGGGAGGGGAGGCGGCCCACATGCCTGGCATTCTTGCTTCCACACTGTTTGTTTGTTTGTTTTAAATTACAGCCACCAGGAATTCCTTTTTCCTTTCCCCTTTCGGAGATTTCTGCTGGGACTTTTAGCAAGTTCTAGAACCACCCCCTGGCCAAAGCACAGAACATTCCAGCACCCTCCAGGCCACCCCCCCACCCCTACCCCGAGGATTATTTTTCCTTGGAAGGTGTGCATCTAGGCTGCATGTGCACCCTGGCCGTGTATGGCCGGGGCCCAGTGTCGCTGGGCCTTCCTTGTTGAACTGCCACCCTGCGGGAGGTGGGGGCAGCCCCCTCCATGGGGAACGAAGAGCCGGTTTCCGCCGCTTGCTGGCAAGGCTGAGCTGCAGTGGACACTGAGCCTGGGCCCAAGGGAGGGGCACGACCGTCACACACCAGCAAACTCAGTGACATTTCACTACATGTTGAACCTGGTCTCCCTGTGTGCGGCGCACGAGGCAGGGCGGCCTGGGTCAGGTCAGGTCAGCTTGGGCACAAGCTGCGTATGGGGCTCACGCGGCGGGGGGGTCTGCTCTGTTCACAGGTCAGTCTGGAGAGTCTGACAGTTTGCTGCGAATCCTCCCCTCGAAGGGGGTTTAATCAGACTCCCTCCCCGCGGGACTCATTACATCTTGAGACTCCACCGAGCCTGCAGCCCCATGTCTATGTCCCAGCGAGCAGTGAGTGGGCTCCCTGGGTGGAGACGGGAGGGGGGGGGGAGGTGCAGGACTGTGGCGGTCCCTTCACTGCCCGGACCCCTGCTGAGTTCCAAGGTCAGGTCAGCTGAGAGCCTGCGACCTCAGGGGCGCTGGTGTGGGGCGGGGCAGGCCCCAGAGCGCCACCTGTGAGACCAGGCCTCCTTCTGGATGGAAAAGTGGGGTGAAACCGGGTAACATCCGTCAGGCCGCCGCGCAAGCCGGCAAGTGTCAGTGAGGCTGTTGCGATGAGACTGTTTGGGAAAACTGGAGACCTGGGGCCAGGCGCGAAGTGGCCGCCCGGGCGCGCAGGGGCCTCCGTCGGCGTCAGCCCAGCACAAAGCGGCAGCGGGCTGGGCCAGGAGGGAAGTTGTTCTGAGCAGGATTCCTGTGTTTTCCCAAATTGAGGGGAAGTTCACCTAACGTAGAATTAACCATTTTTTAGTGAACAATTCAGGGGCATTTGGTATCTTGGCTATATTGTGCAACCATCACAATATTTAACCATCACCCGTATCTAGTTCTAGAACATTCCATTACCCCCAAAAGAAACCAAGTCTCATCAGCCATCACCCCCTCCCCAGCCCCCACCTCCCCCACGAGGCCCCTTCCCGTCCGTGGAGGAGCCTGTTCCGGACGCGTCACGCACGTGGACTCACACACGCGTGGTCTCTCGTGTCTGGTTCCCTCCCTGAGCGTCGTGTGCTCGGGGTCTGTCCGTGGGGCGGCGGGTGGGGGCGCCTCGCTCCTGCTCGCGGCCGAGGGACGCGCGCATGCGCGGTGGACACGGTCCTCTGTGGACGTGCGCGTGCGTGGTGGACGCACCTCAGGGACGTGCGCGTGCGCGACGGACGCACCTGAGGGACGTGCGCGTGCGCGGCTGAGACGGTCGTCTGAAGGCGTGCGCATGCGCCGTGGACACTTCGTGTGTGTCCCTCCGCCGGGGGACGGGCGTCTTTGGCCGCTGGGACAGTCGTGAGCGGGCGCCGTCGGCACCCTGTGTGGGCAGTCTGTGAGATGCAGACGCGGGCAGCAAGTCTCCGCCTGTTTCCCACGCGACCTCCCCGTTTTACCATCTTGCCGTCGTTCGCCTGGACGCCGCGCGGAGCCTGGGGTCGGGCTCTGGCCTCGGTGCGGGGGACTCAGGCCGTCGGCAGGCACATCTGCCCGCGTGATGTGTTTTCCTCATTTGAGAGCCGGTGCTCGGGAGGGAGATTGGGAAAATCGGACAAGTGTGGGCAGCTGGAAAAGCCTGCCCTGGGTGCTTGCTGCGCATTTCCCTGAGCGTCGGGTTCGTGGCCCGAGACGGGAGGTGCAGGGGCCATGACTGCTCGCCTGGAGTTGCCCCTGGTGGCTTCTTTCCAGCGTTTTCTGCCTGGAGAAGGTGCATTGGGGAGCAGGGGAGGGCAGAACTGCGGTGCCCACTCCCCGCCAGGCCCGCAGGAGCCCAGGCAGCCTCTTTCACCCTCCCCTCCAGGCTTCATTACAACTCGGGAAACTGAGGCTGGGGTCAGTCTCAGGCAGTCGCCCCTCCCAGAGGTGGGGGGATTGAAGCAACATCCGCCCGACCCTGATTTCCAGCCACCTTCAGGGTCAGTCCAGGCGCTGGCACCTGCCCCGGTCACGTGGATCCCCATGAGCCTGAGCTCTGAGGAGGTGAATGGTGTCCACACACAGCACATGGTGCTCATAGCAGCTTCGTTCATAACTGGCCAAATTCGGGGGCAAGTGTGCTGCCCGTCAGCATCTGAGCAGATGGATGAACTGGTCCATGCAGGTGAAAATAGACTGTGCTCCGTCCGGCACTGAAAACGAGCAGTCAGGCCGCCCAGAGACACAGGGGAGTCTCCGACGCACAGCACTCAGGGGCGGAAGCCAGGCTGAGGAGGCGACACTGTGTTCCCAAGGCCAGGATGATCTGGAAAAGGCAGGACGGTGGAGGCGCGGCTGTCGGGGTGGGGGAGGGGAATGGGCAGAGCTCAGGAATCTCAGAGGACACCGTGGTGGTGGGCGGGTGTCAGTGACATTCGTCTGAACCCATGGGGTGCCCAGCACCGGGAGTGACCTGGTGTCCACTGTGGACCGTGGTTGGTAACGGCCACTGCTGGCCATCCTGTGACGAATGTGCCAGGCCAGTGCACTTCGTTAAAGATGAGGGGAGACTACGGAGAGAGAAGACGGAGGGAACTCTGCAGTTTCTGCTCAATTTTCCTGTAATCCTCAAACTGACTTTTTTTAAAGTCTTTTTTTTTTTATTTTTTTTTTTAATTTATTTTTAGGAGAGAGAGAGACAGCGTGAGCAGGGGAGGGTCAGAGAGAGAGGGAGTCACAGACTGAAACAGGCTCCAGGCTCTGAACTGGAAGTCAGCACAGAGCCCGACGCGGGGCTCGAACCCACGAACCGCGAGATCATGACCCAAGCGAAAGTCGGACGCTTAACCAACGAAGCCACCCAGGCGCCCCTATTTTATTTTTTAAACAGGATACTGAGAAGGAGGGCATAGGTCCTTCTAAAGCGAGGTCTAGATGTGACACTGGAATGACAGAAAACCTGATTACAAAATGAACAGAGGTCTTTCCAGAGAAGACATCCAGACGGCCGACAGACACGTGAAATGATGCTCCACGCTGCTCATCGTCAGGGAAACGCAAGTCAGAACCACACTGAGACACCACCTCACGCAGGTCGGAGTGGCTGAACTCAACAGCTCGGGAAACAACACGTGTGGGCAACCGTGATGATGGGAATGCAAACTGGCCCCGCCGCCACTCTGGGCAACAGTGTGGAGGTTCCTCAGAAGGTTAAAAATACTACCCTTGGGTCCAGCGATTGCACTACTAGGTATCTACGCAGAGAAAACGGAAGCGCTGGCTCCAAAGAGTCTCTGCAGCTCTGTGGTCGTGGGAGCACTTTTCCTCACGGTCCAGATGTGGCCACAGCCGTGTCCATTGGCGGAGCCGGGTGACGATGTGTACGCCCCTCACGTCTTGTCCGTCCGCCCAGTGGAGTACCCTTCAGCCTCAGAAAAGAAGGAAATCCTACCAATTGTGACAACAGTGACAGGCATGGACGGCGTCGTGCTGAGAGACCCAGCCAGACCGAGGAAGACAAACGCCGGAAGCTTTCACTTCCAGGTCAAGCTCACAGGAGCAGACACAGGAACGGTGGCCTCCAGGGACTGGAGGGGGACAGGGAGGCTTTCATCAGAGTACAAACTTCCAGTTCCGAGGTGAGTAGTTTCTAAGGGCCTAATGCACAGCCTCTTACACTTGACGGTTGTTGAGGGAGGGTCCCGTTCAGTGTTGGGCACCCGTCACTGCTGATACCTTCAGAACATCACGTTGCCCCGAAAGTAACCCATTCTGGCCCCCACGGGCCCCGTTTCCAGCCATGGAGGAGCCTGTTCTGGACGCGTCACGGACGCGGACTCACACCCGCGTGGCCTCCCATGTCTGGTTCCCTCCCTGAGCGTCGTGTGTTCGGGGTCCGTCCCCGGGGCGGCGGGTGTGGGCGCCTCACTGCTGCTCGCCGTCGAGGGACGTGCGCGTGCGCGGTGGACACGGGCCTCTGTGGACGTGCGCGTGCGCGGTGGACACGGTGGGTGCCTGGGTGTGGCCACCTCCTGACTACCGTGAACACGCATGTGCAGTGGACCTAGGTGTTCAGGGCTGTAATTCACTTTCGCCCGGGAGGGAGGGGCGTGGCTGGGTCACACGGGGAGCCCACATTTGACCTTTAGAGGAAGGGACCGGCAGGTTTAACAGTCCCGCGAGGCCCGTCCGAGGCGAGGCTGCCTCTCGGCTGCTCCCATAGGAGCGATGCGTCCTGCCTGTGACTTATTGATGAGCACGGCTCGGTGGAGCCGGGAGAATTTTCCATGGCTCCCGTTATAAACAGGGCTGGCGTGAGAGCAGGGCAGTGGGGGCAGCAGGGGTGTCCCTGGGTCAGGACGAGGCCACCCGCGCCAGCTCCTCCCGTGCTGCTTCCGGCCCCCACGTGAGCTCAGGACCACCTTGCTCTGCAGTGGTCGGCCACGCCCTGCTCAGGGGCTTTTGAGGGGCCGGGATGGCCACAGCCGCCCTCGGGGCAGATGCAGGAGCTTCTGGGGCAGCCCTGCGCACTGCCTTTGCGTCTGTCACCCTGCCACCCCACCGTTTCTTCCCAGGGGTGCCGTGCAGTGTTGACCTCCAAAGCCAGGGGTGTCTTCATCCTGGGAAGGTGTGACTGACCAGGAGGGCCAGGGGAGGGGTGTCTGTGTCCCACTGGGCATCTCCTCAGTTGGGAGACGTATGCTGTCTGCCTCCTAAAAAGCTTTATCAAAACGCAGGCTGTGCCCTGACGAAGCAGTGGTAATAACCAGCTAGAGAGCCGTTCTCTTGTCCGGACACTCTGGCCTCTGTCCGTGAGAGCAGATGGGGACTCAGTTCTCCAGCGCCCGTGGCCCGTCACTCCCCACATTCCGTCTTGGTCCCTGAATTAGGGACCACTGCTCAGGCCCATTTCACAGGCAGGCAAACTGAGGCCCGGAGAGACTGCCCTTTCCCTTCGGGTTTGCGGCTTCTCCTGGGCAGCAGAGGGACAAGGGGCCTCATCCCAGGAGAAAGGAGTACAGGCGGATTGGGGACCCCACCTTCCCCCGGACCCTAGGTGACCCCCACATGGTTGTTGGGGCCTCCCGGGCCAGGGGCAGGCCGGCAAGGGGTGTTTCTGGAACCGGGGGCACCCGGGCCACTGCTGCCCCACCATGGCTGTTGGATGACCCTGGACACGGCCCTGTCAGCCCCAGCTTGTTGCTCGAAGCCCTGGGGCCCACGCCACCCCTGGCACTGCCCCCCGGAGAGCCCAGGCTGCTGTCCTAAGTTAGCTTCTTACTGATGCGCATACCTTCTGGTCCTAAGAACCAAGCTACCAGGGGACTTGGTTTCACCCCAGCAAGGTGGCCTGGGACCCAGCAGCTGGCCGCCTCCGTGAGCTCCTGAGCCTCGGTTTCCCCTTCCAGTAACCCGGGTCCTGGCAGCGCCGACCACCGTGTACAGGTGGCCCTGTGGGGTTTCATGTGCCGGTGTCCGTGGGGAAGGGCGGGCAGTGGTCTGAGGGTGTGTGAAGTAGATGAGTGCTGCTCCGAGCTCGTGCTGTACCACCTTCTCTGGAAGGTTCTGTGTGAAGTCAGGTGCTGGTTCTGGACAGAGGACCCCAGGCGGACCAGGACACTCTGCGTCCTGTTCCTTTCTACACACTTTGTGGGCAAATTTATTGTAAGACACATTTTACAGTCTGTCGGTTTTGGTCACAGTGTCCTGGGGACACACTCACACACGGAAGCCTGCCCAGGGTTCAACCACACTGATTCAAGAGAGGGTCCGAGAAGAGAGAGAGAGAGGAAAGAGACGAAGGGGAGAGCAGTGACTCCGGGGACACGTCGGGTGGCGACCAGGACCCTCCAGGGGCCTCTGCGTCTGCTCAGAAAAAGTGCAAACATTAAAAATATCTTTTAATAAAGTAAAACCCACATAACATAAAATGAGCCATTTTAAAGTGTACGACCAGCGGCATCGATGCATCCACAAGGCTGTGCAGCCATCCTCTCTTTAATTCCAGAACATTCCATCTCCCCAAAAGCAATCCTGTCCTCATCAGCCATCACCTCCACTCCTCCCCCCGCCCCCACAAGACCCTTCCCATCCAGGGAGGAGCCTGTTCTGGACATTTCACGCACATGGACTCACACCCCGCGTGGCCTTCCGTGTCTGGTTCCCTCCCTGAGCGTCGTCTGTTCAGGGTCCATTCGTGGGGCGCCGAGTGGGGGGCGCCTCCTGCTCGCAGCCGAGGGACGTGCGCGTGTGCGGTGGACACGCCTGAGTGACGTGCGCAGTGGACACATCTGTCCACTGATGGACCGTTTGCTTCCGGCCCCTTCGCTGCCATGAATACCCACCTACAGGTTTGTTTCAACACCTGTTTCTAGGTCTTCGCGATTTGTACCTACAAGTGGGGTTCTGAGGCCCTAGACATTCATGCCCAGAAAGGCTGGGCCATGGTTGCCCGCTGTGCCCTGCCAGCACCCACTGTCCCTGCGGGAAAATCTGGGAGGCCCCAGAGGTGGACATGTCCTCTGGGAGCCCTGTGGGTGGCCGAACTCGCATTCCACACCATGTGGTCACACAAATGACTGACCAGCAGGACTGGACAAGACATAAACAGACGCCTCCCCGTCCCCAGCCTTCTCCATTCGACTTGGCAGGAAAGGAGGTTTTGTAACTTCCAATGGAGAGCTTCATGCCAAACCTGCAGATCTGCTCAGAAGTACCCTAATGAGGGCCAAAGGGGGCGTCTTCCAGAAGCATCCCTGGCAGACATGTCCTTGAAGCAGGGGCAGGAGCGCAGAGCTGGGGCTGCCGCCCCAAGTGGCCCCAGACAGGGCAGCGTGCTTCAGGCCACCTTCGTCCCTTTCTCTGCAGTGAAGCCACGCCCCTTCCCTCCGCCCTCCACGTGGAAAACCTGGAGCTACTTTGGCGGACTATCTCCTCAGTGACTCGCGTTAACCTCCTTGCCTGTAAACTCTATTTCTAACTTAAACATGTAGTATTTTATTGTAAACAACTTGGTTCAGAGAAACCATGAGGAGAGTCAGAAGGCAAAGCGCAGACTAAGAGAAAATACTTGTAGCACATAATCCAACAAAGGACTCAGGTCTAGAATATGTAAAGAACACTCAGAAATCAATGACAAAAACAACCTAATTTAAGAAAATGAGTCAAAAACTTGAGCTGGAAGTTCCCAAAGACAGAGACCCAAATGGCCAACAAGCACGTACTTGGTGGCACGTGCTGACGGACACCCCGGTGGCCCCCACCTTCGGCTGCTGTGCGTCCTGTTGCAGCAAACACTGGCAGACAGGGATTTGCTCAAGGTGTGTTTTCAACACTTCGGGGCCTCCAAGTGGAAATGTGGGGTCATGTGACCACGGAGACCTTTTTGAGGAAACTCCAGACTATTTCCTTTTGTCCCCACTTTACGGATGAGGGGACCGCAGCACAGAGGAGCCAGGAGCCACACAACTGAGTCCAGCCAGACCTGACATCTCAGCACCCGCCCCCCGCCCCGCATCTTGGTAACGCATTACTTATGTTGTCCCAATGAGGAACCCAAATATGGGAGAAAAGTCCCCAGAACCCCTGGTCAGCCTGTGGAACTCAAGGATGCCCCTAGCCACTCACCTCCCAACCAGGCCCTTCCTTCTGCAAGGAGCCCCCTCATCCCTGTCTGGAGGGATGTGAGATGGGGGGGCCCGCTGTGGACCAGGGCCAGCAGTTCCTCAAAAAGCTAAACACGGACTCATCCTATGACCCAGTGTCTCCACTCCTGAGTGTCCACCCCACGGAAGTGCACACACGTCCCCGTAAACACTGGACACAGCGTTCACAGCCGCCAGAACGTGGGAAGAATGCTAACACCCATCAGGTTAAGGGAGCACAAGCAACACTTCCACTGCGCACGCGCGCGCCCAAAGATGACCGTGCCCACCGCGCACGCGCACGTCCACAGAGGACCGTGTCCACCGCGCACGCGCACGTCCCTCAGGTGCGTCCACCGCGCACGCGCACGCCCCTCGGCCGCGAGCAGAAGCGAGGCGCCCACACCCGCCGCCCCGCGGACGGACGCCGAACACACGACGCTCGGGGCGGGAACCAGACACGGGAGGCCACGCGGGGTGTGAGCCCATTTGTCTGAGGTCCGTAAAATAGGGAAATTCATAGAGACAGCAGGTAAATACAGGTTGTCTGGGGCTGAGGAGGGAAGTGACTGCTGATGGGGGCGGGGTTTCTTTTTGGGGTCAGAGCGTCCTGGAAGTTGATTGAGGTGATGGTTGCACACAACCTTGTGAATGTACGAGAAACCACTGAATTGTACACTCGAAGATGCTTAGTCGTTAGTTTTATGTTAGATGAATTTTGCCACGGGTTTTGGAAGCGGGACATGAAGGTGGCCGCCTGCCTGCGGTCACACTCGGGACCCAGGCGGGCGCTGCTCGGGGGCAGCGTGCCTGCCGTCGTCGGCGTGGCCGCTCCAGGGAGCCGCGGCGAGCCTCGGTGGGGAGGCCCCCCCCAGACAGGAGGGAGGGACGGAAGCCAGGCAGCCGGCAGCACCCCACTCCTCCGCCCCCCTTGCGTCATCCAGTAAACATTTAGCTCCTACTGTGTGCGGGCCTGGCGCTCCGCTGGGTGACCT